TGACAGTGGTGACATTTGATGAACGTCATCTTATCTTATCACTCCACTAATGACAGTGGTGACATTTGATGAGGGTACACTGCCTTCTCTTTGTTTTCACTTTACACAAACATGTCTGTCTGTCTGCTTGCCTCTCTGTCTCAGAGGCACTAGTGAACCAACACGTATTACGCATGATGCAGTGCGTCACATCTGAGTCCTGATACTATTATCTGCCAGTCTGGAATTTTTGGGTTATCCTAGGTAATTTACACTGTATAATTGTATTTATGTGTACCTATGAGACATACAGCCACCCAGCCACCCACCCACCTGACCAGCCAGCCAGCCAGCCACCTGTCCAGCCAGCCACCCAGCCACCTGACCAGCCAGTCAGCCAGCCACCTGACCAGCCAGCAAGCCAGTCACCCAGCCAATGCTGTTTACACAAATTCACACTGCCTTCCCCATCCCCATAATGCCTTCCCTATCTTCAGTGACACTTCAATCTGTGTTAGAACTATCACTTGGGAAGAGAATAGTCTCAATTTGAGGAAGAGTGAGGTCTTCTTTACCACTTGGCTTGGTGACAAGGCACACTGAATTAGCACTCCCACAATGCAATGCAGGTGCCTAGATTTTTTTTCCTACTGAGCACACTAACCACGCAGACCCATTTTATCACATGTAGGCCTAACAGCTTTCTCCCGCTCAATTTGAAGGCGCTAGAATTTATGCGTACAAGTACATCACCAACCCTGGCTGCAATAACGTACTTGTACATGTTCTCCTCACTTTCATCATAACTTCTTATTATGATTTGTTCATGGGTATATTTCATGTGAATAATCTCCTAGACTCAAGCCACATATCCTATGGAATATTATAATATGCACTGAGAGTCTGTGGAGACAAAGAACTTTATCCATGGAAGAAAAGAGGGCAATGTACGGGAGTATAGTTATACCAACGCTCTAACATGGTTGTTGCAACAACCAGAAGGCTGAAGGCAGTGGAGATGTTGCGTCTGAGGGCAATGTGTGGTGTGATATATAATGCAGAGAATTCATAGTTTGGAAATTAGGAAGAGGTGCAGGATTACCAAAACTACTATCCAGAGGGCTGAGGAGAGGTTGTTGAGATGATTTGGACATGTAGAAAGGATGGAACAAAATAGAATGACTTGGAGAGTGTACAAATCCATAGCGAAGGGAAAGCAGGTAAAGGTCAGCCTAGGAAAGGTTGGAGGGAGAGGGTAAAGGTTTTGTGTGAAGGGCTTGGATTTCCAGTAAGCATGCATGAGCACATTAGACAGGAGCGAATGGAGACAAATGGTTTCTAGGACTTGACGTGCTGTTGGAGTGTGAGCAGGGTAATATTTATGAAGGGATTCAGGGAAGCTGGCAGGCTGGACATGAGTCCTGGAGATGGGAAGTACAGTGCCTGCACTTTCAAAGAGGGGTGTTAATGTTGCAGTTTTATAAATGTAGTGTAAGCGTGCCTCTGGCAAGATTGTGATGGAGTGAATGATGATGAAAGTTTTCTTTTTAGATTGACCCTATCTTGGTGGGAAACGGCCGATGTGTTAATAAGATAAAAAATTCTACTGCTAGCTTAATATACGATAGTGTAAACACATTATCAGGCTTTTATATGCCTGATAACATATTTACCGCTTTACGGTGGTAGCCTGGAACCTAACCCGCCATATAAGCTGGGCCCTCCTGTACAAGTATGCACAATTTTTTTGGTCCCACAAATCTGCCACCTGCCAATATTTTTTACCTCAGGGCAACTCTTTGGTCTTCTTCCATCTACAGTGGACCCCCGCATACCGTCGGCATCACATAACATTTAATCCGCATACCGCTCGCTTTTATCGCAAAAATTTTGCCTCACATACCGCTCAAAAACCCGCTCACCGCTGTTCGTCCGAGACGCGTCCAATGTGCGCCCTTAGCCAGCCTCACATGTGCCGCCGGTGGCATTGTTTACCAGCCAGCCTCCGCGGTAACATCCAAGCATACAATCGGAACATTTCGTATTATTACAGTGTTTTTGGTGATTTTATCTGCAAAATAAGTGACCATGGGCCCCAAGAAAGCTTCTAGTGCCAACCCTACAGCAATAAGGGTGAGAATTACTATAGAGATGAAGAAAAAGATCATTGATAAGTATGAAAGTGGAGTGCGTGTCTCTGAGCTGGCCAGGTTGTATAATAAACCCCAATCAACCATCGCTACTATTGGTGGTACAGCTGCTGCTGCTGCTGTATCACCGTCAGCTGCTGCTGCTGCTGCTGCTGCACTGTCAGCTGCTGCTGCTGCTGTAGCACCGTCAGCTGCTGCTGCTGTTGTACCACCGTCAGCTGCTGCTGCTGCTGTAGTACCGTCTGCTGCTGCTGTAGTACCATCTGCTGCTGCTGTAGCATCGTCTGCTGCTGCTGTAGCACTGTCAGCTGCTGCTGTACCACCGTCAGCTGCTGCTGTAGTACCGTCTGCTGCTGCTGTAGCATCGTCTGCTGCTGCTGGAGCACTGTCAGCTGCTGCTGCTGCTGTAGCACTGTCAGCTGCTGCTGCTGTAGCACCGTTGTTGGTGTGGCTTATTGAGAATACCAAGAAACAATTAACCCCAGAGGATTTGCCACCCAGGATAACCCAAAAAAGTCAGTGTCATCGAAGACTGTCTAACTTATTTCCATTGGGGTCCTTAATCTTGTCTCCCAGGATGCAACCCACACCAGTCGACTAACACCCAGGTGAACAGGGAAAAATGCCTGGAACTAGTGCTCATATTGGTGAATTTAAAGCCAGCAAAGGTTGGTTTGAGAGATTTAAGAATCGTAGTGGCATACACAGTGTGATAAGGCCTGTTCTGGAAGAAAATGCCAAACAGGACCTACAGTACTCAGGAGGAAAAGGCACTCCCAGGACACAGTGTCTCATCAGTCATTGCTGCATCTTCAATAAAGGTAAGTGTCATTTATTCTTCATTTAGTAGAGTAGTACATGCACAATATATATTGTGCATGTACTACTCTACTATTGTGCATGTATCCTTCTCTTTGTGTGTAGGAAAATGTATATTTCATGTGGTAAAAATTTTTTTTTTCATACTTTTGGGTGTCTTGCACGGATTAATTTGATTTCCATTATTTCTTATGGGGAAAATTCATTCGCATACCGATCATTTCGCATAACAATGAGCCCTCTTGCATGGATTAAAGTCGCTATGCGGGGGTCCACTGTATTCATACATTTGAAAAAATCTAAGGCCAGCAGGGTGCACACAATGTATCATGATTAACTACTCATTGGGATGACTAAGTCCTATGTACTAGTATGCCTCACTAGCAAAGGTAAACAAAAGAACCAGGAGCTGTTGCTCTACCAACAACTTCACTACCAGCAAACAGGGTGCAAGTGAATCTAAGATACAGTGGTACCCCAAGTTTCATACAGCTCCGAACTCGAACAATTATGTAAGTGTATTATTGTAAGTGCTTTTGTGCTTTTGTAAGTGTATTTTTGGGGGTCTGAAACAGACTAATCTAATTTACATTATTCCTTATGGGAACAAATTCGTTCAGTAACAGCACTCGAACAGCCTTCTGGAACGAATTATGGTCGAAACTCGAGATACCACTGTATCTTATTCAGTCCAAATTTATTACAATTTCATGATCCTAACAGTAGAATTCAGCCACAAAGCACACTAGGTATATAACCCAGGATAACCAAGTAAAGTCAAACAATGGGAATAATTTCCATGCTCTGAAGAGCAATACACGTGGAAATAATTGTAATATTACAAATATTCATTATACATAGCCTTAGAAGACCAAAATAGTAAATAATAATATAATATAATAACAATTATAAAGTATATATACTGTATACATAGCCCAGTAAAGTCAATCAATATGACTCATTTCCATGTTTTGAGGAGTATTACACTCTGAAACAATTGTAACATTACAAGCATTTCTTGTACACAGCCTTAGAAGAACAAAATAGTAAAACAAATAAAAAAGAATAAAAACCAGTCATACCATTTATACTCCAGTTATTCCAAGTGAAGCACTGCTTGAAGTGCTTTAACACCTTGCAACACAACTAATATTATAAAAATTAGTATATAAAGTGTTAAACATTAAAATAAATTTAAAAACAGAAAACCAATCATACATTAACCTCAATAAATTGTAAAATGTAAACACTGCTAGCACTTCAATGCCAGTGTTGCCAATTAGTGATAATTTTTTTCAACAAATTCAACATACCATAAAATCCTAAGTTTTTATCCAAGTCCACTCATTTTAGTCTTATTTGATACAAAAAAATGAACTCACAGTAATTTTTTTTCCAGGGTCTTTCACAGTTAAAGGGTTAAAATAAGTTTAGTCTCTATTGTCTATATAACTGGATTAACATCATGCCAAATCGTAGAAACATTCAGACTTCTTATGCAGAGTACTAATAATATATCAATTCGTTTTAGAACTAAGAATATTTCTCACACTTTTAAATATTCATTTTAATATTACAGTTACTGTCAGAACAAAGTCAATACATCTGAAGCCCTTTTGTATAAAATCATTTATAAAAAAAATTAGTTAACACTATTTATCTGGAACTACCCAAGAGGTAACTGCTGACTTTAAACATAGTACAGTACAGTAAACCCTCAATTTAGTGAATTTTAGAAATGCAAGACAAAATCCACTGGGTCTACTGATTTGGAAACATTGGACAAAGTCCACTGATTACAGGACTGCCCATTATTGTTACAATAATGGTAAAACAATCTCATCTCTATCCATCATAATTGCCATTATCAGTCTCCCTCTCCCCTCCCCTCCCTATTAGTCCATTAAATTCAGGGTTTACTGGAATACATTAAATTACAATAGCCTTTTGGAATATGACCAAGCAAAATCAAACTTATTCATATCATGTATGACAAAATAACACAGCTGTGCCATATGAGATCATTACAGTACAGTGCAAATAAAAATTTACCCTGGCAAAAGGAGCTTTCGGTATAAACCATTATTCTAAATCACGAAGGTTGATTGTTGACTGAGGATCAGTGGTGGGATCTGAGAGGAGATCATGACCCATTAGTGTTTCTTGATAAAGCTCGCTAGCAACACCATCATCCTGAAAAAAAAAAAAAAAAGGATATACAAACAGATGTGAAAATACAGGCACAAAGTTCTGACATGTTGATATTAAATCAGTAGCAGGAACCTTTAATAATTAATTAACACTGTTGCATTCATGCAGGGAAGCCGTATAACATTAAACAAGAATATACAGTGCTCATCATTAACCCTTTGACTGTTTCAGGCCCCTTTCTGAAACTGTCATTCTATGTCGTTCAATTTTTGAAAAAAAAAAAAAAAATTATTTTTTCTTATGAAATGATAGAGAATCTTTTCCCGATGGTAATGACACCAAAAGTTTGAAATTTGGTCGAAAACTCATGGAATTATGCTCCTGCGAAGTTAGCGGTCTCGGCGACATATGCGTACCGGCGATTTCGCCGACTTTGAGCCCTATTTTCAGCCAATTCCATTGTTCCAGTTGACCAAACTCATAGCTATTTCTTTAGAACTCCATTTTATCTATCAGCTGAGTGCAGGAAACCTCCCATTTACTAATTTGGACTACCCAATATGGTGGTCAGAAATTGGCAATTTGGCCAATTTCACGCAAACTAAAAAAGATGCCAATTTCAAAATAGGGTCCAGAATAAACAAGGTAGACATTCATGGCACTAAAATAACATATGCTCTGTTCATTAGTCACATCTCTAGGCCCCTCTTATATTATTGCTTTCTATTTTGATTTTTTATTCATACAAAAAAATACAAAATTTACTGTTATGCAGACTACTGCATTATTGTAAAAATGGTATAAATAATATCAGTGCACTAGTGAAAGAATATTAGACTCCCCAGTTGACGTGTATTGGACGTGTGGTGTGATTTATTTACTCCTGAACATTGGTAAAAATCGAACATTTCCGCTACTTTGAGCTCAGTTTGAAGGTCGTTTTCATCGTCAAAGTAATGAAAATCATCTCTCTTTCTGTAATATGTTTTCCATTTTATCACCTAAGACCATGAAAACGCGAATACAACGATAAATACTATACGAAAATACACCTCAAAGTCGCCGTTTTATTCCAAAAAAACGATCAGTTTTTTTTTTCTCATTACGCAATGTGTTCTGCAGGATTTTTTTTATGTGGTGCACACTGACCACACAGACCCATTCTCTCACATGTGGGCCTACCAGCTTTCTCCCGCTTTTATGTGGTGCACACTGACCACACAGACCCATTCTCTCACATGTGGGCCTACCAGCTTTCTCCCGCTTGATTTGAAGCCGCTAGAATTATTGAGTATATAAACCTCAGAAACATTGGCTCGTAAGACGTATTTATACGTCGAAAACAGTCAAAGGGTTAAAGTACTCAGGGTATATGCTCAGCATACCTCAACGCCCAAAGTAATACCCTACCATAGCAAGCTTGTCAATGGGACAAAAAGTTATATGATTTGCAACTCAAAGTGGGATGTCTTAGGATTCCCTAATGCTACTGAAGTCCTACGTCTTAGGCGCCTAGGCTTGTGTGTTAGATGGTTTCTGTGTTTGTGGTACCTATATGCAGTATGGTCTTTGGAGCTTAGTTTGTCAGACATTTTTGCCTAGTGACACATTAATATAAGCAGGAGAAAGTTGCTGACACAAGAGACAATTGCAGGGATCATTGAATTACATAAAACAGGCCATCAAATGAAGGAAACAGAAGCCACTAATATGTGTTAGTATCGAGCAAGAGTTTGGTTGTGTCCGTTCCTTGAAGACAGTGTTGATGACATGACCAGACCAAAAGCACATCCATAAAAGCCTAAAAAATTACCCCACTAACATTAACTGTAATAATGTAACTAGAATGGCAAGACACCACAAAATCTGCTGCTCAGTGGCTTCCTAGCTGTGAGGTACCCTTCTTTGATGAATGACCAGGATATTTCCCAGACTTGAACCAGTGAGAACCTCTGGGCTATGACAGAGATCTACAAGGAACAGGTTATCAGCCCACTCGTATGGCTTTAGGATGTCACCTGTAAGTCATGGGTAAATCTAACCCATGAAACCCTGAAGAATGTGTGTTAATCACTTCCTACATGGCTAAATTATATTGTAAAAAGAATGGATGACCTTTCATTTCTTCTTCTTCAAGTCATCCTGCCTCAGTGGGAGTAGGCCAGTGTGTAAAAAAAAAAAAATTGAAAACATAAATTATGATCAAGTGGATTAGTAGTCCACTGTATGTCGATAAAGCTCCCTGCATGAGTGAAACAGTTAATTAATAAAGACTTCATACTGCTTCTGTGTCTTAAATGTCCAGTTATATATCAATCTGGTTGATGATCTAATACATCATTTATGCCCAATAAAATCAACTGGAGTCATATTTCACAAGCATCTGATAGGATGACACATTTATTAAATTGCTATAGCAGTTTTCCTCTTCTCTATAAACTCCCTTTTCTACCCCTGTCCTGAGTTCTATTCTGTCATCTGGGGAAGTTTCCCTTTCTACCAAAAACACTTGATGTAATTCAGAGAAAAGTTATTTGTGTTATCAGTTTCTCTAGTACCCTTGAGCTTACCAGTAAGTAAATTTATTCAGGTATACACAAATACAGTTACATAGATTATCATACAAAGAAGCATATGTGTAAAGTACCTAGGATAACCCAAAAGAAGTCTGACATATTTCCATTGGGGTCCTTTGCTTATTTCCCTTTGCTTATTACAAGCTACCCCCAGCAAAATTCTACTTTATTCTCTGTATTGCTGTTATTATAATTTTCACATTTCATCTAAATAAATTTACAAATGTGAGATAAATTCATTTACCTGTAGAAGGGCAGACTGAAGATGTGCTGTGGCAGACATTGTTACTGCAGAGGCAGATAAAACTACATCATTGGTAAAACTCACAATTCCTTCCCCAGCTGCAAATAAAACATTATATGTATATCATTTATATCCAAACACAAGTGCAAAAAACATTGGTTAATAATAAAACAATCATAGACACACTAAAACAGCAATTAAAGTAAGTACAGCAGGGCCCCACATATATGGCAGGTTAGGTTCCCAGGTATCACCGGAAAATGGACATCGCCGGAAGCAGAACGCCATATTTTCCACTTATAAATGCACATAAATGCCAGATAACAAGTTTACTCTAACATATATATGTACTGAGTTAACAATAAAACTAGGCATTTAAAAAACAATAAAGTAAAATACACACACAGCATACTTATTACTTACCTTAAAATATTTGTAGTCTTAATGTAGGGTGAGAGAGAAGTATTTATTGTATGAAGTCAGGTGTGGTATGTAAGGTAGCCCACCTGGCCACCCCATCAACACGTAATATACAGTGGACCCCCGCATAACGATCACCTCCGAATGCGACCAATTATGTAAGTGTATTTATGTAAGTGCGTTTGTACGTGTATGTTTGGGGATCTGAAATGGACTAATTTACTTCACAATATTCCTTATGGGAACAAATTCTGTCAGTACTGGCACCTGAACACACTTCTGGAGTGAAAAAATATCGTTAACCGGGGGTCCACTGTACTATGACCTTCAAAGCGCCTTAAAGTGATAAAATGCACGTACAGCACACTCATTACTTACCTTAAAATATTTGTAGTCTTACTGTAGGGTGAGAGGCAAGTAGTATTTATTTGTAGGAAGTCAGGTATGGTAGGCTTCATGACCACCCCACCCACACGTAATATACTAGGACATTTAAAGTACCCTAGAGCGATAAAATGCATATACAGTACACTCATTACTTACCTAAAATTATTTGTAGTCTTACTGTAGGGTAAGAGGTGAGTAGTATTTATTGTAAGAGGTAAGATGTGGTAGGTATGGTAGTCAGGTGTGGCAGGTATGGCCACCCCACCTACATGTAATATACATTTAAAGCTCCCTAGAGTGATAGAATGCATATGCAGTACACTCATTACTTTCCTGAAAATATCTGTAGTATTAATGTAGGGTGAGAGGAGAGTACACGAGATAAAACGAATAAACGAGAGAGAGCGAGAACAAGTAAATGAGAGAGGACAAAAACGCGGAGTATGTAAACAAGCAGACAAATGCGTCTGGTTATGGTTGATGCATGTTCGTTTCCATGTTTGTGAAGCTTATACCCTAATACAAACACTTTATATTGTGCACAAGTTGTCTCCACGCTGGTACATTATTATTATTATAATAAAAAAGAAGCGCTAAGCCACAAGGGCTATACAGCGCTGCCACGCTGGTACAGTAGAATAAATAAAGAGCAACACTACCATTCTTGTGTAACACCCTTTTTAGAAGGAATGACACTCTGAGTGAAGGCATATGAAAGGAATAATTTTCTACAGTTACTCCCAGGAATACTATTGTGTACACCTTTTCTTTGGTGTTGAACTACAGAAAATATTATTCTTTCCGACACTCTGACAAGATGACTGGGAAAAACACCTCATATTTATGCTACCTTATTCTACTGTGGGGTGAATTTATCATGCTTATATGTTATGTAGCATGTTTATTAAATAATTCTGAAAAAATATCATAGATGGATTAATGAAAATACGTATATTAACATAATATACAACATTTAATGCGCCTCAGAGTGATTATTATTGAGTATTATTATTATCATTAACCCTTTAACTGTTGCGACACCAAATCCTAAAGTGTCTGTGTCGCAAATAATTTGGGAAAAAAAAAAAAATTCTTATGAAATGATAGAGAATCTTTTCCTAATGGTAACAACACCAAAAGTATGAAATTTGATGTAAAGCTTATGGAATTACGCTCTAGCGAAGTTCGCGATCTTGGCGATATACATACATCAGCAATTTTGCCCGCTTTAAGCCCTATTTTTGGCCAATTCCATTGTTCCAGCTGACCAAACTCATAGCTATATCTTTAGAACTCCATTTGTTCTATCGACTGAGTACAAGAAACCATCCATTTACCTATTTCTACTACCCAATAAAGTGGTCAGAAATTGGCAATTTGGCCAATTTCACACAAATTAAAAAAGGTGCCAATTTCAAAATAGGGTCCCTGAATAAACAATGCAGACATTCCTAGCACTAAAATAACATTTTCTCTGTTCATTAGTCTTGTCTCCAGGCCCCTCTCATATTACTCTTGCTTTCTATTTTGAATTTTTTTCACACAAAAAATAGAAGGTTTACTGTTATGCAGACTACTGCATTATTGTAAAAATGGTATAAATAATATCAGTGCACTTGTGAAAATATATTAGACTCACTAGTTGACATGGACGCGTGGTGTGATTTGTTTACTCTCGAACATCGGCAAAAATTGAACAATTCTTCTACTTTGAGCTCAATTTCAAGCTTCTTTTCATTGTGAAAGTAATCAAAATCATCTCCATTTCTGTAATATGTCTTTCATTCTATCAACTGAAACCAAGAAAACAAGAATACAACCATAAATACTATACGAAAATACACCTCAAAGTTGGCATTTTTATCCATAAAGACGGTCGGATTTTTTTTTCTCATTATGCACTGCGTGCTGCAGGATTTTTTCTCTCATATGTGGGCCTACCAGCTTTCTCCCGCTTGATTTGAAGCCACTAGAATTTTGGCGTATTAATACGTTTGAAACACTGGCTCCTAAGATGTATATATATGACTGAAACAGTCAAAGGGTTAACATAGCATCTTCAAGAATAATAAGACACTCTTAGTGGTTTTAATGTGTACCTGCATGCCAGCACAGTGTGTAAGTTTATTTACGTACAAGTACACATAAGTATAATTATCAGTGGAGATGTCATGTCTGAGGGCAATGTGTGGTGTGGATGTACTGCAGAGAATTCGTAGTTTGGAAATTAGGAGGAGATCCAGGATTACCAAAACTATTATCCAGAGGGCTAAGAAGGGGTTGTTGAGGTAGTTCAGACATGTAGAGAAGATGGAACTAAACAGAATGACTTCGAGTGTATAAATCTGTAGTGTAGGAAAGGCAGGGTAGGGGTCAGCCTAGGAAAGGATGGAGGGACAGGGTAAAGGAGGTTTTGTGTGAGAGGTGCTTGGATTTCCAGCAAGCATGCATGAGCATGTTACACAAGAGTGAATGAAGGCAAATGGTTTTTTAGAACTTGACGTGCTGTTGGAGTGTGAGCAAGGTAACATTTATGATGGGATTCAGGGAAACTTGCAAGCTGAACTTGAGTCCTGGATTTGAGAAGTACAGTGCCTGCACTCTGAAGGAGGCATGTTAATGTTGCAGGTGATGGAGTGAATGATGGTGAAAATTTTTCTTTTTCAGGCCACCCTGCCTTGGTGGGAGAAGGCTGATGTGTTAATAAAAAAATATATAAAACATGAAATAATTTTAAAACACTTGAAATTTTGGTAAGTTTTGAAACATAATGGAGAGACGTGGTGCTCATGAGCTCATGGAGAATGTAAACAAACCGGGTGGTACGCAGTGACCATATTAGAGTCAGTTGGGTGGAGCCATATAGTGAGTTTTAGTCATATGTAATTTGAAATGTCTGTATTAGCAGAACACCGCAAAGCGGAGCCCTACTCTACTGTACTGTAAAAAGAAAAAGTTTTTTATTTAGTAATTATTACCTCATTTTCTACTTTTCAAACATGGAAGTCTAGACAGTTATATCAACTACATTTTAATTACATTAGGGCAATTAAGAGAGGCAATCATGGTCTTTCGTGCCAATAAATAATGATACAATTGTAATGCATTAATTATGAAGATGGAAGATGTATATGCTCCTCAAATACTTAAAATACGTATAGGAGGGACCTCGATTTACAGTACTTTGCTTTAAGGCTTTTCGCTAATGCAGCAGTTTTCAATTAAACCCATTCTTCATTTATTCAGACTTCCTACAATAAATATATTAACCACTCACTATAAGCTGAGGATGAAAACATGTTACGGTAGGTAATGTGTTGGAGCTGTTGGAATGTGAGCAGGGTAACAGTTTGTGAAAGGATTCAGGGAAACCAGTTAGCCAGACTTGAGTCCTGGAAATAGGAAGTACAATGCCTGCACTTTAACCCTTTGAGGGTCTGTCCCATAGTTCTGGATTTATGAAGGATGAGGTTAATCATAGAACTGATGAGGGAAAAAAGGTGAGTGGTGCGTTGAGGTATATGTGGAGTCAGAAAACGTTATCTATGGAGGCAAAGAAGGGAATGTATGAAAGTATAGTAGTACCAACACTCTTATATGGGTGTGAAGCTTGGGTGGTAAATGCAGCAGCGAGGAGACGGTTGGAGGCAGTGGAGATGTCCTGTTTAAGGACAATGTGTGGTGTAAATATTATGCAGAAAATTCGGAGTGTGGAAATTAGGAAAAGGTGTGGAGTAATAAAAGTATTAATCAGAGGGCAGAAGAGGGGTTGTTGAGGTGGTTTGGTCATTTAGAGAGAATGGATCAAAGTAGAATGACATGGAAAGCATATAAATCTATAGGGGAAGGAAGGAGGGGTAGGGGTCGTCCTCGAAAGGGTTGGAGAAAGGGGGTAAAGGAGGTTTTGTGGGCGAGGGGCTTGGACTTCCAGCAAGCGTGCATGAGCGTGTTAGATAGGAGTGAATGGAGACGAATGGTACTTGGGACCTGACGATTTGTTGGAGTGTGAGCAGGGTAATATTTAGTGAAGGGATTCAGGGAAACCGGTTATTTTCATATAGTCGGACTTGAGTCCTGGAAATGGGAAGTACAATGCCTGCACTTTAAAGGAGGGGTTTGGGATATTGGCAGTTTGGAGGGATATGTTGTGTATCTTTATATGTGTATGCTTCTAAACTGTTGTATTCTGAGCACCTCTGCAAAAACAGTGATAATGTGTGAGTGTGGTGAAAGTGTTGAATGATGATGAAAGTATTTTCTTTTTGGGGATTTTCTTTCTTTTTTGGGTCAC